AGACGATAAATCTCAAAATTCAGAACTCGCCTTGTTTTTCTATCTCTGTTTTGAGTCAACTGTGCCTTGTCCGACTCGGTCGTTCCTACTTCTTCATTCCTTACGCATTCTGGTGGAGCTTGAAATAAATAAAACATTGAAGAAACATTTGGGACGACTGCTTCGATACGTCTTACATTACTGTGTTGCCAGTTTTCCCACTCGGCGACCGCCAAGATTCTCATTCCCTGTGTATGCTGCGAACTTGTGGGACCGCAACCTAGTTGGGATGCCTAGTGTCGCTGTTCGGTAGAGATGAAGGTCATTGCTATGGTGATATAAACTTGAAATAAAGTCGTAGTACGTAATAATAGTAAAATACTAAAATACTGTTTGAGTCTTGGTTTGTTTGGTGGTTGGTTTTGCTGTCCCTTCCTCTCACATCCTCCGTTCCTGTCCCTCCATCCTTCTCATTGCTCAGCGGGATTCAGATGTGTAACGGTTGAAGTGGGTTATCGCAATCATTACATCAGGTTAGAATGGAAACTCAACCGCGACTTTACGTATTATTATTATTATTTCTATTTCTGTTGGTTTTCATGTAGTGCCGATAAATGCAATAACCGTGGCCAAATCACGTTCGTTTAAGCCATATCTACCACCAGGTTTCGTCTACACAAAGCATAGCACACATCGCAAAAGGTGAGCACAAAACTGTTATTCACTACCAGGCACAATGTTTATGGTAAACCAAATTGATCCCCCCGGCTACGCCGGTATCTCTCTTCTCTGCGTGAGCTTCACGCCTTATGCTGTGCTCTCTTGCACCGTGGCACCAACATTTAGTGAGGGTGTCGTGTACGCACAAAAAGGTTTTTATTGCAAAATGTATCATAACAATCATGACCTGACGCTACAATGACATCTCAATAATTGATTGTACCTTGGCTCTGTTGGGGTTTCAAGTAGGGATAGCCGAGCAGTAAAAAGTGTGACCTCATGTTTGCACTGCTGAGTCGCGAGTTCGATTCCTGCCCAATCTGTTAACCATGCCCTGCAGAAATTGACAAGATTATAAGCTCAGGAGGTTAGGGTTGAATACCGTATATTTAATGCTGCGCGTCAAGTAGCGTGTCTAGTTGGTGCGGCTGCACACTTCACAACCTAACACACAGCAAACACATAGAATCACTGGGTTCGTCCCCATTTCCTTAATCTACTTCTTTTTAAGGTTTCTTCTGAGATATGAGAAGTACGCTTCCTTCTTCCTCTACTTCATTGCCTTCTCATACAGCTTCAGTTCAGTGCAACGTGCATGTGGATGTGTATGAGATTCATAGTGATCTTGGTTTGCCTATACCAAAATAATAATAACTGAAGAATTGCTGTCAGCGTAGTTTTCAGATCTTCCATGACTCTTTCATGGATGCTGCATAAGATCATGGTGTATTGAAACTTTGGTACAATAACTACAGTGCGTTTCAAAAGTATGTGCACACCCTCAAAATTCACGTTTGAAAGGGAACCATGAGGTTTCGTGCTATGAAATCCTTCTCAATCGATTTCTCGTAGTCGATAACCTATCAATGGAAAAAAAAAAGGTAATATCTTCGCTTCACTTTCAAAAGTATGTACACACTTAATAAAAGACAAAAACATAGCTAAGATTAGAAATCAGTGGGGCCTCCAGAGTTTCTAATTAGCTCAAACATCCTGCAGGGGCATAACTAACCACTGTGGCATAGGCGCATCGCGGTGGCGCCTACAAGCCTCTACGGGCCTTCATCAATCCGCGTATTATACGGCCGTTGCATTAAGAACCCTTGCCACGGGCCCCCTATAGTGGTGCCAGTAAGGACCCAGCCCCCGGCCCATCTATCGCTCCGCATCATTGTTTAAGCGCAATTCTTTGGAATTCGAACATCGGGGAAAGACACTGGTCTTCTGCTAAAAAGCAATTTCGCTCCGCTCGCTAAGGAGAACAACCGTGACATGAGCACTGCTGAATTCTTACAGTTCATCACAAAAGGAGCGCAAGCCAACCTCCGCTCCTTGCAAACCGCCCCGACCCATCATCGCGTGCTCCGAAATCCATCTCGAGAACAACGCCGCATCGCGGAACCCTCAGCATGGACCAAACTTCCGGCCTCGCACCATCTCTCACAAGCAAGAACTAAAGGAAACATAAAAAGTTCTTGTTGAAAATAAATCTGGAAAAACCGGCGGTCTTCGGCCCGGTGACCATGCATTGACATCCGTCCAGCAGAACTCCAGTGGTAACCCTCGAATTAGCTAGCCTCCTGTCGAGGTGTATCATTTGAAGGAAGGGTCGGGTCTTTCCGAGGCGAATAAAAATCGATCTCGACAGCATGAAGACCGAAGCTCTGGCTACTCCTTGTCTGACAGCCAAGGATCTGCGATTGGCCAGGTGTGTCTGATATAATATAGTCGGGTGCCAGATTAATCTCGAATCATAAGAAACGACCAAGTTATCGGGACGATTGCCAGATGGAACCTTCATATACAGTGCGAACCTTGAGACGCTTGCCTCACTTCAGAAAGGTAGGCAGCGAATGACATGATGGCCAATAAAAAGCAATAGTGGATGAATCGTGGAAAATTCAGGCGCCAACATCTATTTTCTCAATTCCACAGACTTGAAACAAAGAAAAAAATTTCATCGAAATTTTTTTCCGAAAGTGAGGCGATATTATCTGCTTTGCTCTTCCATTGATAGGTTATCGACTACGAGAAATCGATTGAGAAGGATTTCATAGCACGAAACCTCATGGTTCCCTTTCAAACGTGAATTGGTTGCACATCTTGAAACGCACGATTACAACCCCAAAGTCCAAAATGCACCCGTAGGATTATCGCCGCCATCTCGCGAATTTGCGCTATTTCATGCTTACCCTGAGCTCTCCAGTACTTGCCTACGCTTAAGGAAAGATTGCGGGTTGACAACAGCACTGTGCGGCTCCGTAAGATAATCCTGACTACCACCTAAAATTAGTGAGAGGGCACAGGCGAGCAAAAAATAGACCAGAAGTGGCGTAGGTACCAAAAATGAATGTTACACACGTAATCAGGGCACCGAAAAACCCTTGCATACGAGTTCATAGCTTATTTGGTGAAAGCAGCCGTTGTGACAAAGTGGCGTCAGCGCTAAAAATAAATCATTACGCAAATCAAAGACATCAATACCTGGGAAAGTCAAACGAAAAAAATTTGAGATTCGATGTAAAGGATCTACACGAAACTTGTAAGGACTTAGAATTCGACATAGGCGATGGTTTATTATTCTGATTAAGATATCATACGGACAGAAGTGTCGCCAAACGATTTCGTGGTCATAGCTTTGCCACTCGAACACCTCTCCAAGCTGTATAGCTGATGCTTAGTTTATACGCCCTCCAACAATTGATATACTATGTTTTCTGGTGTTTTTATATCCTCAAGCTTAAAGAATCAGGATATTCAAAAGAAAAAATTTCGAGGACACCATTGATTTTTTAGCAAAAAAGAAGCACGAAAAATCGTTTCGGCGAACAATTTTGACCGCTACTGTATACTTGGTGTACTGAAACTATTGATAAAGTATTGTGCGTAAGTTTTGAATCAACTTGAACACTGAAAACCCACGCAACACCAATATTGGAACTGTAGTAGAAATCTAAACACATTTTCACTGTGATAAGTCAAACATTTACAAAATTTCGGAAAAACTTCAAAATTCCATCGGGACGAATCCTCCAATTCTAACCGAAACTTCAAATCGAAGTCAGATTAAGGAAATGAGGACGAACCGAGTGATTGTATGTGTTTGCCGTGTGTTAGGTTGTGAAGTGTGCAGCCGCACCAACTAGACACGCTACTTGACGCGCAGCATTAAATATACGGTATTCAACCCTAACCTCCTGAGCTTATAATCTTGTCAGAAATTGCAGAAATGGCTCCAGTACCAGCGTCAGTCGTTACAGGCCGGCTGAAGATATCCCCACCCACATCACTCTCGTCAAAGAGTGTCAAAAGTCAAAAGAGGTAAAGCTGAGACGTCACGTGAAACTGGCGTACAAAACTCCCGCCCGAATTGTATGGGCTATTGAGGAATGAAGGACCTCGGCAGCCCACACAGGCTAGATCGAAATGGGACTCAAAACGTGGGATTGCTAAGTGGGAGGTCCCGAGAAGTTGCTGGTCAGATAAATCATCTAAGTCCTATGCCTCCAGAAAAGTCGATGGAAAGGAGCAAAGGCCAGAGAACCAGGGGGAAACTCACAATGGGGAATACACCAAGGTAAACGGAGCCGCATTGCCGTAGCGGTCACGGAGTCCCCCAAGGATCCTCCTCTTTTGTGAACGGGATCAACGAATGAATCATGGTCATGAGGATAGATAAATAAAGGGTTCTGGAGCACTTCGTGTACGCACCGGAACCGGGTTGCCCGAAAGGGCGGGAAAATACTATCTGACCCTGGACGATGCATTCATCGATTCCGGAAGGTGATTACCTGACCATAGCAGGTGATCTGAATGGTCACGTCGGCAGTGACAGAAGAGGCCTGGAAAGGGTGCACGGAGGTAGAGGGGTAGGAATGAGGAACGCTGAGGGAGAGAGGATTTTGGACCTAGCTACACTCCATGATCTGGCAGTAAAATTCTGGACCTAGCTACAGCACGCGATTGGGTGTGTAGCAACAGAATCGTCCGGAGACCCGCGCTTGTCCAACAGTCGCGGCCGCGACGTCGCGACTGTAGTGGACGAGTTGAGCGTCATTCGATTTGAATTTCAAAGGAACGCTAAGCCACGTCCTCCGTCATATATTATTCTACCAAAACCTTAGCCATTAAAGACCAAAACCAATTAAACCGAAGAATCGTATCGAAGATATGGAAGTCGTCTGTGCTCAGCTACAACCGCCGAGCTGCCCAAGTAAGCGTTTCTTGTTCGTATTTGGTATTAATTGAGGTCGGTTTAATTGGTTTTGGTCTTTAATGGCTAAGGTTTTGGTAGAATAATATTTTACCTCCTTCTTTCTTGCATTTCCGCTACACTCTGATAGTTATCGAGTTTTGATACCTTACCTATTTCTCCAACGAATTGCAGTTTCGGAGTTTAATCTTCTCTACCGTCTTTTTTTGTACTTGTACCATTGTACTTTGAGCCTGGAATGCATCCCATTCGCCAAGATGATATAGGGGCACATGCGGGAACCACAGAACCATGTTTATTTTTCCTGAACGGCCCTCTGAATACCAGAAAAGGGGTCCCTAATTCGATAATTCGTGGTGACAAATTTCTGCATTTCGAGTTGACCACAGTGGGGCTGCTTGGTGTCACACCTCTTACACCAATTTTTCGGTCAAAGTCTTTTTGTAAGGGTTACTGACGGTCCTAATCATGAATATGGTACTAATTATTCATGCTAACTCCATTTTGCGCGAATTTTGGAATGTCAATTGTTTAAAACCTTCAAAAACTTCAAGAATAAATGACTCACGATCAAGAGTTTTTCCGTACTCAAGCGGCAGGATAGCCTCGTCAAACTCGCAACTGATCGCATGTGCCGGATGACGTTTAATGATTATGTAAGCAGCAACAATGCCCTACGTAACGTACTTACTCAATAGTTGCAAGTTACAAGACAAGAAAAGCAATAAATCAGCAACAAATCCAATACTTTGATCGGTTCTGTGATGACAATCCAAAGGAAAAGTTGGATGAGATAACGACGAGTGAACACTTGTGCGGCGTCAGCAGCAAGCGAGCAGGTGAGCTACGTAGTAATAAGCTTACTTTACTTGAAAAAAAATGAACGATTTTGAACATACCGACATAACAAGAATGAAGAGACCGATCAGCGAATACTGGAGTATGAGTTGGAGCGCCACTCCGAGTCCGTACGGCCAGTAGGGAGGCAGCTGAAGGAATTGCACTGTAAATTTTGTGAAGACGAGGCTCGCACGAATCAGGCAAAAGCGGTTGAAGTTTATCAGCGCAACCGATGAACTTTGAAAGAAAAGTTGAATCTCCTCGTAGAAATCTCGAGACAAATCAGTAGTAGGTGGGACTGTAAACACGAATATCGCACGAAGGTTGGGAAAGGAATTCCTTCGGTTCTTCTGAGGTCAGCCACTTGGAAAAGCACTTGCCGCTGATGATAAAAAACTGAATTGTGCGTCAACTTTACATGTATAAATTGACAACGCATTTGAATACTGCAGCGATTCTTCGTGAAAATTCTGCATTGTGCGATATTCCGGAAAAAAGCGTCACCTTCCTACCCTACCATCGTGAAGTATTCCCTATTACCCCCCATGACTATAGGTTGTCTTACAACTATTACTCCTGCTTTCTCAAATTTGCGATTGTCGAACTCATAATATAGGGCAGTTTCTGGTGTTGTTTTGTGTTCATTACTAACAATAAAATAAAGATAACGTCGAGCACATAATTGTTCAAATTTGGATGTGGATGAAGGATGGATGATGAATGTGGAAAAGTTTCGATTGTATTACGAGGGAAATAAGTAGAACGAAATAGGAATACCCCACAGAAATGAACGAATACAACCATTGTTTGTCGCGAGAAACGCCGTTCTACTCAGGGTGAGGCTTACCTTTCTTTTCTCATTTCGATTTTTCAGGAGCTCGATTTCTTTCAATTCGAAGTAACTTGGGATGTGCCTGGAAAAAGGAGTCAACTTATATAGAACTGATACATTGTGAACTATAACTCACGAGTAAATCCAAGGTATAACGGACGTGAAAGGAAGAACGAGAATAGAGAGGAGCACGCCAACAATTATCTTAAAACTTCCATTATTGATAATGGATACGTTTCGTTCCACGAAACATCAGTAAGCTCACGTCTTTTGTACTTATTGTGATACCGAACACTAGCCGCTCCTCCGCTGTCAAACTGCCAAAGTTCCTCAGTCGTAGCTATTGCCCAGTTCACCATACACACTATGTACTGAGCGATCAGAATTGAAAGGGAATATGAACTTCGAGTAACTCGTTGACGAGTTCGCAAGCCTCCTCCTGCAACTAGGCGAAAAAGGTAACGGGAGATACGAAAAAATATCGCAGCAAAAGCTATTAAAACAGGCAGAGAGTCCTGTTCCTGTCATATGAAAGGAGTTCGGCCAAGAAACTCTGTTATTTCGATATGATCAGAGTCGTAAAGACGCTGAATATGTTCCTGTCTTTGCAATGACAGAAATGCTAAATACTAGGCAATGCTTTAGTGTTTCCAGTGTTTTTGTCCTCCCAGGCGAGTTTGCCAATAAAGAAGTGAAATCTGGGGGAAAATTGATGCCTCTTCGTTTTTCATTGATCCCTCAGTAACTGAGTAACTACAGTACTCGCCGTTTGAAATCGAAAATTCACGCGAATAACGCGAATCCTCGTTAATTTCGTGAATTCGTTATAACTCGGTTCAAAATTGAGCTTTCGAGAATCCGAAGATATCTTTGAATTCAGCTCGTCGGACACTATAAGAATGTGCTTTGATACTTTGGAAAAGCTCCATATAGGATTGCGCCATGCACTCGATTTTCATCTCAAAAAGTAGTTGCTCGCATGTGATGTGTATATAATCCCGCTTATGCGGGCTGAACCGCTACACACAGAGAAGGGCCTCAAAACTTACCCCAGAATGCGCCACGTACTCAATCTCATCCACTACATTGTGAGATTAGATGAATGTTATTTTCCGAATTCTTAGATCTTCATTTCGTTTTCAAGCGCTTACTGGCTTTACGTGTTCCCTCTGCTCTCAATATCCCATCCTCTGTATATCAAGTGGAATCTTTGAACAGTTCTCAGCAGGCATAGTGGGCCTATTATGTGACATTTTCCATTTTCAGAGGAGATGTTTTGCAGAAAGCTGTGAAGATAGCGAACAATTTCCTTCACTGTCGTAGACTACGGTCACTTGTCTGTAAGGATTATATGGAAAACTTGGTCGCAAGTGAGCGTTCCTTCCGTGGTGTGGCCCCAAACATGCCTCCTCGTCATGCCCTTGTGGAATGTTCAGATTTTTTGCATTTCCAGATGAACTCGCAGACCTGAAATGTGCCCCGTTAGCTTCCCCGTGAAAAATGCTATCGAATGATATGCATTACTTCCCCCAGTTGAAACTTTGGTTTTTCACCGTTTTCAGCCTTCCCCTATTGCCGGATTGGGCACTATCCCACGATTACTGCCCCAAAATCTCAAAGTTTCATTTTTCGTCGAAACTTTGTCTATTGGGGTAATTCGATGCCCTGATTACGAATATGACATTCATTTTTGATGCTGGTGTCATTTGGCGCCATTTGGCGCCGTTTGGCGCCAATTTGGCGCCACGGCTGTTTCACCAAATCCGCTGAAAACGTGTGTATAGGGGTTATTTGGGGTCCTGATCACGAATATAACATCCAGTCTTGACGCCGGCGCCATGTGGTGTCACAAACAACACTTCACAGTCAGAGCGTACTCTTAGGCACCTTTCTCAGAGCGCCGACTGTCAGACCGTGGAAAAGGTCATCGAATCGGAGACTTTCCCACGAGCCAGAAGCATGTTTCACGTTTTCGACAACGGAGAATAACGATGGCTCCTGCGTACTCTTTCAGCGACCTTCTCACGAAGCGGAAACGTGTCAGACCGTGGGAAAGGTCATCGAATCGGAGACTTTCCCACGACAGGAAGGAGCCAGACCGTGGAAAACTGTGAGCTAAGCCAGAAGCATATTTCACGTTTTCACTGGAGATGCCTGTATGCGTTGGGCAGAGCAGCAATTCGACTGTAAGCTCTCCAGCTGTCACTGAGGATGGTAGTACCGGGCTCGATGTACTACTTCATGATGAGCCGCAGTAGAGTTGAAACGTCTTTCCTTCGGACCATCCGAAGGAGTCCACTTCCTCTTTCAATGCCTCCAAACAGCCACTTGTGCCTGCGTACCCAACGTCGGCGGTTGTATTTGCGTTTGATAACCAGTGTTTCGTCAATTTCCATCTCGCACCCGAACCTTCCGATGATCGGCGGGTTCCTCCTGAAGTGCCCCACACATACGTCGCGGAAGAACCGCTCCCACTGAATTGAACTGGTGTGGCCGACATTGAGCTCGTATTCCTTGTCCTTCACCTTGCCCATGTCGCGCAGCCAGAAATAGGGCAGTGCGAACACCGTGGACTCAGGAAAGTTACAGTTCTCGAAAAAGGAATCCTTTCGGGCATGAACGTAGACCCTGGTCTCGTTCGACGGTCCAGTGCGGCACGCTCGACGATTGCAAATCCAGCCGTTGTGCCGTTCGTCGTTGATCAGGCTCATGGATCGTTGACATGAATGGCATAGTGGCACAGACATCAACCCCATGGATCGCAACCAGTAAGTGCAGATTATTCAACTTGAGCGTCTCGTACACGTCCTTCAAGGCTAAGCCCAGTAGCTCTCATTGACGATTGTGTCGCTAAAGAGTAGCAAGAGCCATCGTTATTCTCCGTTGTCGAAAACGTGAACCTTTTTCCACGGTCTGACAGTCGGCGCTCTGAGAAAGGTGCCTAAGAGTACGCTCTGACTGTGAAGTGTTGTTTGTGACACCACATGGCGCCGGCGTCAAGACTGAATGTTATATTCGTGATCAGGACCCCAAATAACCCCTATACACACGTTTTCAGCGGATTTGGTGGAAACAGCCGTGGCGCCAAACAGGCGCCAAACGGCGCCAAATGGCCAGCGCTAAAAACGGGGTGTCGTTTCCGTAATCAGGACCCCAAATAACCCCAAATGACGAAGTTTCAGCAGATTTGGTGAAAACAGCCGTGGCGCCAAATTGGCGCCAAACGGCGCTAAATGGGCGCCAAATGACAACCAGCATCAAAAAAATGAATGTCATATTCGTAAATGCAAAAAAATCTGAACTTTCCACAAGGGCATGACGAGGAGGCATGTTTGGGGCCACACCACGGAAGGAACGCTCACTTGCGACCGAGTTTTCCACATAATTCCTACAGACAAGTGACCATAGTCTACGACAGTGAAGGAAATTGTTCGCTATCTTCACAGCTTTCTGCAAAACATCTCCTCTGAAAATGGAAAATGTCACATAATAGGCCCACTATGCCTGCTGAGAACTGTTCAAAGATTCCACTTGATATACAGAGGATGGGATATTGAGAGCAGAGGGAACACGTAAAGCTAGTAAGCGCTTGAAAACGAAATGAAGATCTAAGAATTCGGAAAATAACATTCATCTAATCTCACAATGTAGTGGATGAGATTGAGTACGTGGCGCATTCTGGGGTAAGTTTTGAGGCCCTTCTCTTGTGTGTAGCGGTTAGCCCGCATAAGCGGGATTATATACACATCACATGCGAGCAACTACTTTTTGAGATGAAAATCGAGTGCATGGCGCAATCCTATATGGAGCTTTTCCAAATCAAAGCACATTCTTATAGTGTCCGACGAGCTGAATTCAAAGATATCTTCGGATTCTCGAAAGCTCAATTTTGAACCGAGTTATAACGAATTCACGAAATTAACGAGGATTCGCGTTATTCGCGTGAATTTTCGATTTCAAACGGCGAGTACTGTACTGACGGTGCCCATGACTTAAAGGAGGGGTTCACGGTAAGATCGAAAGTAATGAAGGGGAATCTTACATAGCTAGAGGACAGCATAGCATAGCCCCTGACGGTGCTGACCGGCGCGCAATTTCCAGCAAAAGATTTGACCTTGAAAAGTACTAGCATAGTAACACTTGGCGCGGTTGGCGGGGTACGCCCACCTACTATCTAATAATTCGCCGCAGCTCTTATACGTGGCGAGTGATTAGATAGCAGAGAGAGCGTAGTGTTGAAGAGGGCACAGCGATGAGAGTCGCATCAATGCTCAAATCAACGGGCAAGGAAGGGGTCTCATTTCTCGGGTTCTGGGCCGTTTCTCATGGTTCTTCCTTCTTTCCTGTCTCTACTGACCACCCGTCTCTAACCCTTATTTCCAAATGTGGTAGATTTCATCGTAATTCTATCCTATAATCGCCAGCTTCCCCCGCCACCGCCACCCGCCCTCCTATGCGGAAAGAATCTCTGATACTGATGATGATGCTGATTGATTGATCTTTAGCGTTAACCCGAGTCATTATAAGCCCAACATTTTTTGCCAGGCAGGCAAATCGACACCAAGCTTCAGCTAGTTCCGAAAGATATGGTGTGCTGTACTCTTACTACAATTTTCTCTTTTGCTTCTGGGTTTTAAGCAAAACTGTCGTCTAATGCAGAACTCGATCTCGCTTACCGGGCAAGTGTGCCAAAGTTACGTTACTGGGGCACCGTTTTCGCTCTAACTCAGTTTTTCATGGTATGTTTGTGATTAGGGCCAAAACGTTGCTCCGGTAGTGTAAACTTGAAGCATAAACTGGCCAGCAAGTGGAGGTGCTGGTTGCGAGGTCCGCTGGTGCGCGAAAGTTTTGAGAATAATCCTGCATTTCTGTGAAACATTCGCAAGGCAAACTGCGGACAAAAACAGCAGTCAACAGTTGAAAACAGGTCAGAACGAGGGTGAAAATCGTGTCGAGGAAATAACCGCCTCTTTACGACCCCCCTCCGAAACATGGACTCTGATACGACCCCTTTTTGTCCTCTGCACATCCGGTTTCATATCAAAAAATGCTAGTTTCAGATGTGCGAGAGGGACGCAGCGCCGCTGCCACGCAAATGCGGCTTGATCCAAATGCTAGATTCAATTCTTTCTTTCCTTTAAAGACATTTAACCTTTGCCACATTGGCCGGAAAGTGGAACATTGAAGTAGGTGCTGCCCCTACACAGTTGAACAGTCTCGCGCTCCAGTATAGCGGCGCTAACTACCCGCGATCGCGTCGCGCTGTGCCTAGAGCGCGCTAGTTGGAAAAATCGTCAAATGTACCCCCTATTCAAAGGACTATAACTTTCTTCATTGATAACCATTTCAGAAAGTGAAGGCAGCTTTTGAATGCACAGACTTCTAGTTTCTAAATTGTGCTGAGCGTTTTTCTAAGCACGCCTATTCTCGAGAGTGGGAGACGTCGAGGAATTGTCGAGGAAATTGAAATTTACATGCGAGTTCCCACTCTTTGGAAGACAGTAGCTGTCTTCATTGGCAATGCTTTGAAAATCGGAGGAAAGCGTTGTAAAGTAGAAGATTTGCGCTTTTTGATAGGTGCTCCATTTGTTTCGAACGCTTTCTAGTTCGCGAGAAATCTGCGTCGAGGAAATGTCAAGGAAATTTTCGAAGCCACTCGAAAACTCTATCCTCCCTCGTAGTAGGGAACTTCTTTGAACACCTTCAAAATACTTCTGTACACGTCAGTTCGATGGAGTAAATTGAAAATGATGCACTTGGCGCAGATCCATTCCGTTCTTGTATGCGCCATGCAGTGACCCCACTCGGAGTCATTGGGAAGGTGTTTTGTCCTAGTGACGACTTGCTTAAGCACACCAAAAGATATTTCCAGTATTAACTAATTAGGATAACTCTTGTCATAGTGATGTCTGATCATTCCTTTATTCAAATCGCTTCCTTTCCAACCCGTTCTGATGAATGACAGCTTGCGGTTGCAGGATCTGATGATGCCAAGAAGGCTGCGAATCTGCCTGTTTTGAACTTTCTACCAGATGCTGTTCCTCCACTAACCAGGAAAGGCATTCAACTTCCCATGGAACTTCGAGATGAGACCCAGATATATCGATAGAGCTTCAAACGCTGATTACAAATATGGAAACTAAAACTGCAAAATGAACCTGCCAAGGAAGTTGTGAGCAGTCAAAGTTGGCTGGAAGTAAAGCATTACACTAGCTCCGGCTTTCAAAGTCGCCGTGGAGTAGTGGTAGTGCTCTCGGAATTTGCGCTCCGACGGGAGGAGAGCTTATGACCTCCAGGGTGAATAGCGAGGGCACCACCACTGCTCCGCGGCGACTCTGAAAGCTTGGAGGCTAGTATAATAATGCTTTACTTCCAGCCAACTTTGACTGCTCACAACTTCCTTGGCAGGTTCATTTTGCAGTTTTAGTTTCCATATTTGTAATCAGCGTTTGAAGCTCTATCGATATATCTGGGTCTCATCTCAAAGTTCCATGGGAAGTTGAATGCCTTTCCTGTAAGTTCTCGAAGCATGTACATCATTCTAGAGTAGATACTCGCTGCCCTTTCCCTACGATTCTTTTGCAGGACGCGTTGCCTTCCTATGCCATACTGATCACTACGAACCAAACCAACAACCACTTTCCATTTAAATTTTAATTCCAGACAGTTGTAAGATATTATTTGCATTAGGCTAACTACAACACTTGTGAAACTAATGATGACAGCAAATAAGTGGCAGCAGCACCGTTGTGTCCGTTGATGAACCTTTTGATTACGACCCCCTCCCAACTCTCATCGGAGCAAATACGACCCCCTGTCGAGGATTTCCTCGACCGTTATTCACCCTGGTCAGAACTAACTGCTAAAGCTTGCAGCTTTGCGGTTCATTGTAGATGTCGGCTGTGGTAAACAATGCGATTTACAGTAAACATGAAATATCTCGGCAATAATCAACACTTGCGACTCACCAGTGTACATAGCTATGTAAGGAAATCGTCTCCGCAAGAATATGAATACTCATCACCTCATTCTTCATGATTACTTCATTATCAACTGCTGCCAACCTCTCTGACTAAATTCGTTCGATTTTTTAAATATTCAGAGCAAAGCATACTAACTCACTTACTTCACCATCTCCCATGTAAGTTCCAAGCCAATCATGAACTGGAAATCGATATATCTTCCCTGTATGTAAGTCCTTGATGATGACTCGATTACAGTACCATGATCCCCGTTCTCTACGACCAGAATTGTCTACCCAGAGCCTCACAAAACGAAGATCTCCGAGGCACCTGACGAAAAGTTTTGGTTTTGGTAGGAAATTCTAAAGCTGCTCTGATAAACTGCTAACCATGGTGTTCTTAAGAAGAAAACGAGCAGACGTGCCCCATGAGAAAATCGAGGAGTTCCTCTCTATGTGTATAGTTTTGAGCTCACGTGAAACTTCGTCTGCATCAGTTCCGTAAATTGTGATGAATACCTAAACACAAACATTGACACCATTCCCACTTAGGAGTTTTTTTCATTTAGCCTGCTAACCTTTGAATCAGTACTGGCGCACATACGATACCCGGTCTCAACCATGACAATATAGTAGTATAAGTCTCCTGGGTTATTATCGGCCATGTTGTATAAGAGGCCCTAAACATATGTAGCTACTACGCTTCTGTAAAGGCAAAAGATGCCGTCTATCATACAACTGACCATTGATGAGTCTGGGGCGGCGGTAGTCTAGTCTCAACGGCTAATTACCATAAGCTCATGGTGACCTGCTGGACGCCTTAGTCCGAAGCGTGCGAAGCATGTGTAGAGGACTCTAGAACCCCTTTCCCCAAGAGTCCAAATCAGAATGGTCCGGGTGAATTTGAACTCACTCGAAGCGTATATTATTATTAGTGTGAAGTGCGACTATTCTGTCGGGGACTCTTCGGAGGGGTTCCAGAGTCCTCTCCACTAGTCCAT